AGCATCCGCTGGAAGCGAACGTTAACTTGTCATCTACCAACCAACCAACCAGCCAATATGGAGCTGTCCACATATATGAGGAAATGAGCGAGCCCAATAAAATTTTCTTAGAGTACACTTTTTCTGTCTTGTACAGAATCGTTAAAAACTCAAATATTGTTTTGAAACCGAAAAATAATGTACTGATAACCCTACTTAGTATTTCTGCCAAGTTAGTTAAGTACTAACTGATAATATCGTGAAATATTAGCAATGGTATAATATAGACACCCATCGTCTAATTAACAAATTAGATGATATATAATATAAATAGGTACAAATTAACATAGTTTTAACCATAATAATATACATGTAATAGTTTAACCATAGACATGATTCAATATTGGAATATGTCGTATACCCCAGCACAAAATCTCTTACTCTCTGACTACACTGTTTTCTGAATTGAATTTTGGCAATTATTTCAGTATGAATTGAAATATCAATTACAAAATACTATCTGAGAGTCTTAGATTGCCTTTTGGTTGATGAAAATAAAACATTATTTTTGTAAACATGATTTTACAGGGGTGAATTTTCAGGCTGAAAAGCATGTCTTTTTCAGGTGAATTTTCTGGGAGGGAAGTGTATCTATTCCAAATGTAAAATCACCGAATCTTAGATTGCTATATTTCTGATATGTAGGAAATGAGAGAAAATTTCAATTCAAAGAACAATGTAGTCAGACAGTAGAATGAACATAATATTGGCCAATTTTGTTTCCTCAAAGAGGTTGAAATGTGTCAACTACATAAAAAGTCAATGAAATAAACTTACAAATAACTGTAGTACCAGCATTGCCAAAAATACACTCATATCTTCATTTTACAGATTCAATTTTCGCTGATAATGACAAAAACGTCCACGTTGAACATCGTGATGTTTGCATGATATCCGTATTTGGACCATACTATTTTTCGATAGTATTAATTCCAATGGATACCCACATGCAAATTTATCTCCCCTTTGACAAAGTGGTATGGTCCAATATGGGTAAACCCCTTCTACAATGAAAATTGAAGTGATATAAGGATGATGATTTGAAATATTGTCCTACGATTGAATTTTTACGGTTGAAAAAAAATACGTAAAAATGAAATATTGTCTTACAACCACAATACCAAATAAAAATTTGAATTCAGGGCCATTGAAAGTAATCTACGCTCTATCTTATCAAATAGTATCATGTTAAAAGATTTAGGTTATCAATATTTTCTCACTTTCATACATATAAACTGATAGATGCTAGCGTTAATTTGTCATATTTGATAAGCTAATAAATATCCGACCACAATGAATCGAATTGAAAAGTAGTATTTATGTTTTACACCTTCCACATTTAATAGGCTCTATGTTTCGCCGAATATTTCTTACCATATTGGTGATGGCGAAGAGATAATTTTGTCAAGGAATCACGGACGTTGAACAAGCAATCATGATGAGCGTAAATTGAGATTAGGGTGTCTCTGGTACATTATGATAGCAGCCCCCCCCCCCCCCCCCCCCCCAAAAAAATGGGCTGAATTGGTCACGTTAATCACGTTATATTAATATTAACGTAACAGAGCTACCATTGGTTTAATGATTCCACAAAGCATTGATCTATATTTCGAATAACGAAAGTAAAAATTATTACTTTCAACCTAAAAATTTAGAAGCATGTCTAACTTGTTGTGGATCGAGTCACAGCGTCAATGAACAATGAGAAAACTTTTGAATGTCATTTTTCGTGGGAACCACTTGAAATAGTACAAGGTCTTTAAGAACATAGCCAGAGTAATAAATGTGAGACTAGAGTAAACAAAAGATAGGAGTAAGAAACCTACTGAGCTTTTTATGGGAATTCTTTTCTCATATCACCCTAACACTGAGATTATCTAGCTTCCTGGCACCCTAGTTTACATGTTAACATCCAACAACAGACAAATGATATCAATCTTCCAGTTACTTCTTATTTATGTCCTCAAGATTTGAGGAACTACCACTATATGATTTCTGATGTCAATTTTGGGTACTGAAAGGACGTCATGACTGAAAATCCGATGCCGGTTGTGCCTGCAAATATGCCAAAAACAGACTGCTTAAATGGGAGTACATGTATACTAAAGTAATCAGCTGTCCAGACTTATTTGTTTAAGGTATAAAAAATCGGTATCAATTAAACTGCAGTGCTAGGCCTACTACCCTGTTTTTTAGCAGTTCTTGTGGAAACCGATAACAGAAGAAAAAGTATTTAGCTGTTATAACTAGCAAACATCCATGATCAGATAGGCGATGGAACATAGTGCCAATTTAAATGATATTGCAACTTCACTTGCTTAAAACAAGTAGGTATCGACCAGAACACATTCAAAAATACTATTCTTAAGCTTTACTTTATTTGACCGACACCCCCCCCCCCCCCTTTCCCTTAAATATACTTATACTTTATATGGTGTTTTATAAAAGGAATGGATTATTAAATGCCAGAACATGACTAACATGAAAGCGTGTTTATCATAGTTTCGTTAAAAACCCCAATGTGTATGATTTTACAAATTAGTCTTAATATTGTTTGTTTGATTTTTTTGTGTAAACTCCCCTTGATAAAATACTACAAACGCCTACACGTGGCTGCCAAAATCAGCTTCGTAATTTTGGTAATATATACATGATAAACAGAAGAAATGGTTACTCAAATGTCCAATTAACGGAGAAATCGGCGCTCGTGTTAAATCAAAATGTTTTCGACTTACATGGAATGCTCCAACACTGCATGAAACTCAATAAACGAACGAAAAAATCGGTCGATCACGATGAAGTCAATGCTCATAATTGTATGTATGATTCAGAACTAAATGCTCTGAGGAAAGTAGTTATTGACACCAAGGCAAAGTGTCGCACACCTCTAATTGATCAGCTTTGACCATTTCCATTACCTTGCGCTTGTGAATTATTACATATCACTGGGAATAGATTTGAAGGAGTACTGACTCCTGCCAGTCCTTATGAGACTTGTCCTCCAAGGGTCGGGCTTTTACTGTATTTATAGATGATAGATGGGACATTTTGCTTGCGAAGAGATGAAACAATATGCAATTCAATATGCGTTTTATTTCTGAGATTGGACCAGCCCATAATCGACAATTATGTCTTGGCTTGCAATGAATGAATTGCTTGGGGCTGATTCTCAGAAAAGATCTTACAGCAGCGGAACATTGATATTGGTCTTGCAATAGACACATTGAGAGACAATGATATTGCACTTGAATAGATCAAAATAACAAATAATTACTCTTGAAAATTTCATAGACCAATTTGCTCTTTGTGATTCTCCCGAATGCATTTTCAATGTAAATTATACTAATCAGTAAATTAAAAACAAAAATCATAACAATAACAAATTTATTATTTGTCCAAAAAAATATACATACATATACATAATTTTAAGGCCAAGATAGTACTTTGTGTAAAAATTTTAATTTAAAGATACAAAATTCCATTGTTATTGATTTTCAAAATAGAAATATATATTATGATCATTATAAGAACACCAATTATTGTTGATTACAAATAAAAAGTTTTATATATAGTTTTCTAATTCCAAATCACATTGCAATAAAATTTAAATCATCAAAATTTGAGGTGATGAAGGACCCTTAAGCATATTTGAATCGCACTGAAATTGGTGTCTAAGTTTCAAATGTTAGAAAACACATTGTCAACTATATATTACCCAGTAAAATACCCCAACCCCATAAAGCCAATTTGATTAAACCAAAAGACCACTTCAACAAGATGATAGATCATATGTATATCATCTTCACAATATCAAGCTATTACATTCTTTGTCTTATATCTTAACTGCAATAGTTTATAGAGCACTTTGATTGGTTGTATTTGCTAATGTACAATCCAACCAAGTGGCTTCGTCTACAAATTTCTGTGAAACAAGGAAGGTGGCTATTGGAGTCAAGGTATAAGACAAAGTCTGTAATAGATTGACATTGAGAAGATGGTGTATACAGGTCTACCTATATTTAAGGATGTGTAAAAGGTTTGTCTCTTTCACTATTGAAATGGTTTACTTAAAAGTAAGTAGAAATTAAAACCAGCAGAAATATCAGAAAAACTCATGATCAATGAGAATTTTCATTTGAATAAACAACTGAAGGTTTTGAGATGGGCAAAAATGTTTTTGTGATAAAATGTGTTTACAAACTCTTCTGGTCTGAATTCTGACAATGTGTTTTCTCGAATTTACATACAAAAAGATACAGGGTGTATTCTTCTTTATTGCTTCTGGATATTTCTGAGTGACCATTTCTCTTTGGTACATCTATCAGCACTATCATATTTTAAGGCTCCTCACTTATCCATCACTCCGTCTTGAACAGTTTCTTCTTTGAGCAATGTTTTACATTCAAACAAGTATATTATGTTTGAAAAGGCTTGTTCTTGGTTTCAGCCTTCTTGAGCAGGTTTATAAAATTCCAAGTTCACAATAACAAAATGTTATTTTTGTAGGAAGCTAAATGGGTATAGGTTTTTCCTGAAGCTTAGAATGTATAGATTAATCATATTCAAAAACATAACAACAAAATGTACACAACAATACAACAACAAAACATGGTTATGACTTTGAGAAAATTCAAAAGTTCTCTAAAATAGTATTAAAAAAATAGCCATAACCATGCTAAATACTCACTGTGTAAATTGCTAAGCTACTGTACCTCAGTAGATATGTTTATCACATCTCAAATATTCTGGAAGGACTAGGAAGCAACTTCATCTTATATGTTGAGGAAGGAATGATTTGCTTAATCAAGTTGGTCTTTTTCAGTTTTTCCATTGCCACATGAACAACAGAAGCACAAATTCTCTGGATTTCAAGAAGTATTTTGGCCAAAAATATTACTACACTCTCACAGCCTTCAGAATAATTTCATTTGGTAGTAGTAGCAAATATTTTCAATTTGGTTTTAGGATGATATGGTGGCCACAAATCCTTTAATATTAAGACCATACTCTTCAGATTCACTCAATATCTTCTGAACACCTTCTTCATCTTTTTGGGTTACTTCAAACAGCAGAAACTGAGAAAAGAATATTATAAAGGTCCTTGTGTTACCATAACCAAAATGTTGACAACATGCAAGAAATATTCAATATCTTGTCAATTTGGAATACCCAAATAAGCATGCATGGTTTTCAGATACCATAGTAGGCTTGTCAAAGTAAAACCTCCATTAGCATGCAAAATCTCTACCAGAACTTCCAAAAATTGGAATTTTACATTCCACTATCTTGCACCTAAAATATTAAGGGCATCAACAGGACAGCAACATCAGCTTATACTTTTTCTTATTGGCAATATATCTCTTGACATCTTGTAGTAAATATCTCCAGGCCCCCGTTTAACTTAACTTTTCTTAAGTCTGTCAAAAATTTGCATTTCACTAAAATTCTTACACTAAGAAATTTTGGCATAACTTACGACAGCTATCTATAGTAACTTTTTTCTTAACACAAGAAATGCTTCGGAAAAAATGAAACTTGCCAATTTCTGTTTGATGAAACGTGTGTAATATTTTGGCGTAAACTTACACACTTTAGTGAAAAGGGGGCCAGGACTAGCTGATTAATATAAAGGTACTTTCTATACTTAGCCTAGACCCCAAGATTCGCAAACGCTAAGCTACTGCAAAATTTAAAGACAGACTTATCCATTGGCAACAAAAGTAAGGTATGCAAGCAATACAAAAATAGATTGTATGAAAAGACATTATTAGCTATGCTCTGAAAACTTCAGAATTGAGCATGACATTTTAAGCAACAGAAATCAATTGGCATGTGGCAGAATAAATAGCAAAAGATAGAAAACAATGACTTATGTTGTATATTACATCTTTCCACAAGGTAGCTGAATATGGCAAAGCTTCTACACTCTTCTGATATAACTTCTTAACCTAGAAACACCATACACAAACAACGTTTAACATATAGTCTCCTTAATTTGCTTTATGAAGCTTAATTTCAGCCAATCTGATTTAAATGCAATTTTGGATGTTTTGTTTCATGTTTTTTCTACATGTGACTCTTTATCAGATCAAACATTTCCAGAACTTTTACTCAACATGTTTTAAAATTTAATACAAAAAGAAAGAAAGAAAGAAAAAGAAAGGTCTATATTTGACAAGGATAAAAACTTTCACAGTTAAGCAACCTTTCTACCAGCTGGTCCTTGGCCAAAGCTCTTGGCATTGATATTTCCCAGATTATCCGTACTCATTTATTGCTGGGTCGACTGGAATTATGAGTGAAGATGACTTATTCCAGGCCATCAGGCTATCACATGCCGATTTAGAATTGAACCCTCAACCACCATACATAAGACAACTTAAAATAATTTTGAACCTAGATTAAGTTGACGATAGAGGACTTGATTTTAACTAACCTCCTTATATCTTCCTTCTCTCAGTTTAAGTGACACTACCCTACAAATATTATAAATTGTGCTAAATCTTAATTCAAATATATGAACTAATACCAGTGGCGTATTAGGAGGTAAGTTTTGACGAAGGCCCCCCTACATCGGGCCAAAGAAATGTATTCTTCTGTCAATTCCAAAATCGCGTTAGATGTATTCTTCGGCTTGCCACATTAGAAAATTTTAACTCCACAATGATTAGTGCCCTCTAAATTCCACAAAAGAACGTTCTGGCACTCGGATGACACCCATTATCAGTCAAAATTCAGAAATTCTCACTAAGCCACTGTCTAAGGGAAAAGTGTCCAGATGATGAAAAAGGCAATAACTTTTAGCACCAGTCAAGACAAGGTTCAGATGGCTAACTTGCTATGCACTGACACTTACATTTTCCAGAAATCAATATTGGCCACTTGATCATATACAGCAGTATTAGTTAAACTGGATACTCTGTAATATTCACCACGTCTCAATCCTTCCTCACAGGTTCTACAATAATAAATCTTATACATTGGTTCAAATAAATATTTATCATTTCAAAGACATGCAGAGAACTCTTAAACAAAATATTCAACAGTCAACATTAGGGCTGCAACGATTCACTGATGAATAGAGATTCTTTCCATCTTATCAATGCATTGCGTTGGATATAGATAATTGTAATGCTACAGCACGATTAATTCTTAGCCCCCTTTAATAACTAATGGCACAGAATCATTGTGTGTATAAGAAATTGTGTCATGTTTTCATTTTCCAAGTATGACTTTCACATTAAAATTTGCAAAAATTCATTTCTGACTTTAAAAATTTAGTTTTTTTATCACAATTCCTTACTTCTAAATATTCTCAAGTTCTTAATAGTGACAAACTTGTTTTATTTTACAACTTTCTACTATTTTTTCTCTTTCCTTCTCTAATAAATGAATCGTGATAATTATCGTAATAAATTTTATCGTTGAGTATTGTATAGTGTATCGAATCGCAACTTCAAGAATCGTTGCAGCCCTAGTCAACATGCCTCTTAGAAAATGTCAAATAATTTAGTATTTATAACATCAGAGGTTGACATCTCTGACCACTGTGCAACTAATTCATAAATTTTGACGACTTTCAGTTTGTTTATGGTGGGTGAAGACAAGAGTACCGGAAGAGATTTAAGACAGGTACAAATAGTTTGGAATCAGGGACTAAGTGGAAAAAATGGCCTATAAACATCATGTTTTTGGTAAAGAGATAACTCTGTACATTTCTACTAACAACACAATTTTTTCTAAGAGACATTTAGAGCTGGGTTCATATGTGTGATCAAAATATTTTAATCTTTGATGATGAAAGAATCCATTTCTCATCATAGAAGTTGAAAGGGTAGTTCTATCAAGACAGGTTTAATATTAAAATGGCTAATTAATTAAGCCTGGATATTTTCATAAACATTTTCTCAGATATTGCCAGAAAATATTTCATTTAAAAAGATAAATATGTTTTCAAGATGTGATAACACTCTAAAACATTCTTGTCTAAATGTTGAACTGCAGGTAACAAGAGTAACTTCCGACAACTTAAAGCCACAAAATGGAATAAAATCCTGCATAATGTTATGAGGAAGTTACCAAGGAGCTTCTTCATGTCTTAAAGGGATTGTAAAGAGGTTTTCTAAATTTTTAATGTGTACTAGGGACACTGATAGCATCAATTTGTTCCATTCCAATTTTCAAACAGATGTCTGTGGTTCATGCAATTCATCCAGTGAAGAAAAATATCAGAAATAAATGATTTAGCAGAATTACTAAGATTTGATTCCTTAAATCAATGCATCTCTTAATCTGACCTTATCAATAAATCCACATTATCTGGCATCATATGATGGTATTTCTCTAACATGGTCATGTGATCATTACTAGGCAGACGACACAGATAATAATCAATCAATCCATTAACATGATTATAGTTGACCTGCAACCTGTCTTCACACCAAGCAGGATGAAATTTTGTGGGCATACTGGTGATACTTCTGGTTATGATGTGGAGTAACTGGTTTGATGGACCAGTATTGTCTGTATTCTGTTCTATTTGTCGACAAATAAATTCTGCATACCTGAAATAAATCATCAAGGATGAAATTTATAACAAATTCTGCTGCAATGACATGAGTTTCCATGACATTTTTACAGATCAAACCTTGGTTCCTTCATGAAGTATAGTATACACACATTTCATTGTCCTCTTAAGGTGGTCTTGGTTGTAGTGCCTGTGCTTCCACGACAAGATTATCGTGTCTCTGACTGGATTTATAATATCAAACAAATTTGATAATTGTCTCTGATAGTTTTATCGTCTGCAAGACAGATCGTCAACATCCAATCAGATTCCTTTACCTCTCAATTTCATGCTCCGCACGTGATTATTGACAAGGTGGAAAACGCCCGCTGGAGATTTATGTCTCCTCGTGTGAGGGTGCCAGTCGTTAAAACTCAAGAAAAACTCCAACCAGCGATAAAAGTCTCGAACCATGACTGCTTGTGTGCTTACACCTTTAATAGTTTGTGGAAGTGAATGTATATTGTGATGCCCTCTCAGCGGTCTAAAGCTCTTGCAAATTTTGCAGTGGGCGTGGCCATAATCAATCATGGTAGAGACTAGTTTGTGATTGGGTCAAGTTCCAATCATATTATACAATATATTCAACACATAATTTGCACATTTCATATCCAGGGTTGCATGTCACTAACTAATACTAAGTAAAGTTGGACAGAAGTTTGAAGGAAATGATTTCATAGTTAACCAATTGGTCCAAATGAAATAAAATTGACTTTTACATCCAGGTTTTCTGCTCTATTTTGAGTTGATTGATCAAAGAATATTTTGACCAATCAAATTATGTAAATGTTTAAATTTTAAGGACCGTGTTGCCTGCAAGGAAAACCAATTTACCAAACTCTCCTGCCAAGAAACAATTGTAAGTGGAATAACATTGTGTGTCATAAAAACATGAGTCTCCAGGGGAAAAAATTGAGAAGACCTGAGAACATTTGGAATTCTTCTTCAATGAAAACCAGAAAGAAGACATTTACAAGTTCCATCTGTGCTGAGTACAGTGGGTGGCATAACTAACGTGAAAACATTGGAAATGATTTAGCCTAAAAAATTCAACATTCTATACATATATCACACAATTTCCTAAAAGTGGTGTCCCTCTTCTGCTGTGCTGTGGTATCTAGTTTAGTTTTTATGATATTTTCTCTTAAAGTTGGGTTTCCTTATTTTTAGTATCAAATTAAGCAATTTGTTTATTTGGTGTTTATAATGAATTATCATGTATTCTTAATCATATCATTATGTTCTTATTGCATATAATTAATAACCAATTATAAATGTCCATGTATGTTCAGTCTGGATAAACAAAAAAAAAAGGTTTTTCTCTTCTAATTTAATTAATTATGGACATGTGAGACAAACTGGTATTTTTCCAAGTCATTAGAACACCTCTACTTTCTATTCATATAAGTATTAGCATTTTCATTTTCATAAATGAAAATAAGGGAACCCATCTTTAATATATTTGTTTAAAGTTATCTCACTCCATCCAAATTTGAATTCCCTCTGAAGAAATTCAGCTTACATTGACATCTAAATATGTATAACTTATAGTTGTAATATAAATCTATAAGCAAGAATTAGATTGGCAATTATTTTTTCAACTCTTTAACATACCACTAAATAATATAGCCAAAAACAATAAATTTGGAATCGAAACATTTCAAAATACAAGACATTCTAAAATAAACAATACATTCTGAATTGGTCAAGTAAATATTTAGTTAAAATTAAAAATGTATGTACCAGTATCTATAATTTTAACTAGAGACATTATTTCACATTTTCGCCAAGAAATTGTCATACATGTATTTAGCATAATGTAAAATCTCTACATATTATCTGGAAGGCATTCAACACCACTCTCAAGATGGTCTTCTTTTATCATCATGAAACCTTTTGACTTCACAAATAATTCAGTGAAATGCTAAGGCCCTTGAAATAACGTAATGCCTCACTCATGGGCGATTTTTGTACATACAAACAGTGGTAGAATTGTAGTCAAATAACTAGTAGTGTTTATGTATGTTTCTACTTAACTTGTAAAACACAAGCAGCAGACGTATCCGGAGGCCATGTTGTTTTTTGTGTAAATCCATTATAAAATAATTTGACATTCAAGATAACATTATTTGAACAAATGACAAGGATGAAAAATGGAAAATCCAATTTAAGTGCTTCTAATTTTTCAATATAAAATTTTTTAGGATGTCAGTTTTTCAGATGACAAATTCAGTAAAAGGTACTTTTGCTAATTTACTTTTCCAGTAATTATTTTCCAAAATAGTCTGGCAGGCATTTCATAACATAAATTTAGCCTACCTAAAAACACTTTTACAAACAGAATTATCAAGTCTAACTAGCTTGCAGATAGTGACCAGTGACCAAAAGCCAGAAATCCAGCATTACAACTGCAGTACAACTACAACATGCCATTGTATTTTTGTAGAGAAAACAACATTTGTGAGTGTTCTAGTGTATTTCCATACAACTGAAAGGGGCTCTTCAACAAACAACCAAATTACAAAATAGTCTCAACCTTCCTTGTTTATGGCCATGTACCAGAATGTTCTTATGGCCATGTACCAGAATGTTCACAAGCATGAAAATATTCTATGAAAGCGTAAACTGAATTTGAATCAAAGGTAACCCAAACTAACAAATTTGGTACTTACCCTACCCATAATTTACACAGTTCTGAAGCTTTACACGTGGATGATAGTGCTGTTTCATACATTTCATTACATTCATGAATGTCACCCTGTAATTCTAACAGCAAACTGCAAAAAAAGAGATCAAAAATAATGATTCCTTACATCATTTCTTAAAAGTAAAAGTAAGGGGTGGTTATATTATAATACTGTAATGTTATGTTGTACAATATTATATACGAGTGTATGCATAAGTAAAGTCAATTCAAGTTAAGTCAAGTTTTGTGCACATACAGGAATAGTAATAATAGTAATAAACTCTTTAAGTCGTTAATCGTTTCAATTACTATTTAAGCCACATAGCTGCAGTATATAATCCCTACCTATTCAATTTACTTTTTAAATGGACAGATGTGCCATTTTGGGGGGTTGATTTCAGTTTTGAATATATGTAAAAATACCAAAATCACACAATTCCTTTAAAAATACCTCAAACTAGAAATTTTACTCACTATTTCTATATATGTCTTTTCTATATATCACAGATTATCTTCAAACACAGATAATTCTTGACAAACATGGATTTGATGGCTCAAATTTGAACACTATTAGTGATTAGCTCAGGGCTAAAATACAGCATACAATAGAGAATTCCACTATGCAAGTTTTTAAGTGACACTTACCAATAATTCAGCCACAGATAGGCTTTATCTTGTGTTATTTGACTGTTAGATACAGGTTGCTGTAGTGATGGTAAGCGTGTAGAAAATGGTAGTGGAAGACCAAGAATGAAACTGAAATACAATTAATGAAAGCTATGAAATTAATGCTATAATGGAAACATACGTTTATTTTTTAAGAAGAATCGAAATTTTGACTTTTCATTTTATGAATTTGCAAATAAAAGCATAATGTCTTTGCAATATTGAGTATGACAATAGCTATTCTAATGCTGCCAAATGTTTTGGCTTAACAATCCTCATCAGGAAAGATTTTTATCAGAAATGAGGTTAACTTGGTTTGGTGTGAACAAAAAACTCCATACATGAGCTTTCAAACATTGTTAAATATTTGTCTAAGCTATCCACTAAAAGAAATACTTTCACCTAAATGCCTTAATGAATGTATATAACAATAAAAAACCTGTTTGATAAAAACTGGTAATATCTGATTCTCTATATATGACTAGAGGAGGTGTAATATGAACTAGATAATAATAGAACTTGTATCAAGATAATAATGTAGCTAATGAATTCCAGTGGTTATGAGGGAAATCAGCTAACTTCAAAGGAAGTGTTTGGCAAGACTAAGATCAGAATGATGAGCTATCCTGATAAAATGCTACAAATATTATGTTAATCAGTTTGTCCTGAAAATTGATTGATTCAGAAAGAGTGTCAAAACTAGAAACATCCAAAATGTCAAAATAATAGTAGGTCAAAATGAAATAATACAGGTTATAACAGGGATTTAAACAGGTTTCAACATAAAAATGAGGGCATATGAAATAAATTTGTAAAGTGCACATTTATCACATAGACAAATTAAAGGGATTGTGAAGAGGTTTTCTAAATTTCTGAACGTGTATCGGGAACACTGATAGCATCAATTTGCACCATACCAATTTTCAGTCAGACGTCTTTTGTTCCTGCAATTCCACTAAAACTAACAGCTTGATGACGTCACTAAATGCAAAAGTATAGTTTATCAAAAAAGATCCTTTGCAATTAGTGACATCAACAAACACTTAGTTTTATTTGAATTGCAGGAACCACAAACATCTAATTGAAAATTGGAATGATGCAAATTGCAGTGTCCCGAATACACATACAAAATTAAGAAAACCTCTTTAAATTTACTATTTCATAAAAGCATATTATCTGACATAGGAACATTTACATGAAAAACAAATTTTTCTGTATTTTGTTTTCTTAAGATGTTTGAAAATTTTGGTCAAAGATCTGGTAGTAATAAATCTTCAGACTATCAGAGATATGTCTATAACAAAACAACAAGATATGGCTTGTTATCTTCAGAATAACACCTCTCTCTCAGATTATAACCTTGAACATTATTGAGTTGATAAATATTCTCAAACATAAAACTAAAGAATGGTATTATCAGTAATCCTTAGAACTTGGTTATTTACAATGATTGATGTATTTTGATCTTTCTTTGTTTACCTTTCCATTTCCTAATTAAAGGTATATTACCCTTAAAAGATGGGTTCCCTTATTTTTATTTATGAAAATGGAAATGCTAATACTTATATGAATAGAAAGTAAAGGTTTTGAAATGACTTGGAAAAATACCAGTTTGTCTCACATAATTAATTCATAATTAACTAAATAAGAAGAGAATTACTAGCAAAATTACAATGAGTGACCTATCAAGAAAGGTCAAAAAGTCTCTTTTTGTTTATCCAGACTGCACTTACATGGACATTGGTGATTATTTCAAACTCTTAATTATATGCAATAAGAACATAATGATTTGATTAAGAATACACGATAATTCATTAGAAACACCGATTAATCAAATAATTTGCTAAATTTGACACTAAAAAATAATGAAGCCCATCTTTAATATTGTTCGATAAATATATCAAATAGATCATATTAGCCATGTGAACTCTCTGAAAGGAATGCCTAATTGACATTAAAAAGCAGAGTAAAGGCAGGTATTAAGGAGGGTAGAGTATTCCCACCCTAAACGATACTTATTAAAGTCAAGTTACAAGTAAAAGGTATAGTTATAGGCTTTCAAATTGCAAAGAAGATATTTGAAAAAAGCCTTCAAAGTTAATTTTATCTCTTTTCCAAACTGTTTTATCTAAGAGATAATAATATTTGTATGAAAATCATGATCAAAGTCAAATTTGTCACTTCTATACAGGGTCTATTGACCCAAGATTATCAGCAAGAATGCAGAACACATCATTTCTGATTGTATGTGTATGACATTTTTCGAGCATCAGTATGCTGTCTAGCCAAAGCAAATCACCTCAAATATTTTATGGAAAATCACAAAAAATTATTTATGTATGGCATACTTTAACAAATAATAACTAAGAGCAGTTTTCCATAATTCTATCCATCTATAAACCATTTCTTTTAGAAACTTCTATTAGTATTTTTCAATGGGTAAAAATGTAAAGAACACCTGATAAACACATGATATTTCAATATTATTATTTATAACAGAAATATTCTGACAATTTCACTTTATCATCAAGAAATTCTATCAAATATTTCATACATACATTGTTCATTCATTGTTTAAAAGTTTAACAAAATATTTGAAAAAAATGGCCAACACGTTTTTGTCTTAAGGAAATCCAAATGAGGTTATCTTAGCCTTTTTATATGTATCAGTGATCCTAAATACACTCTTTAGAAAATTTCAATTAAAAAAAACAAAAGAAATGTTAACTCTGAGAATACATCCATTTTCAATAATCAGATTAAAAGGAACACCATGCAAATTTTTGCCAGGATCTTTAAAGTGCACAGCCTGTTGCACATGGGTTTTCTTATAAATAGCTTATAATATCATCAAATTCAATTCTGGTATGATGATAATAACATATCAGTTTATCTTCACAAAAGAAAATAATAAACATTGATATAAACCTCCTTTTTAAAGTACTTCAACAAAAAATCTAAAAAAAACCTGAAACCTTGAGACTAATACCATCAAAGAAACTAAGTAACTAAATAATAAAATTATGATTGGAATAATACTAAAAGCTCTGTCAATGGTAGAAATTAAGAAATCAGCATATTCAGTGCCAAAATAATTACAGTTAATCACATTCCAATTAACTCTAATTGACATGAAAAAATATAATTTGGCTTCAACCAGGGATGTTTATTCAATCTTAATTCTGCCAGTCTATTGGGATAAATCTTCAAATATTTAGCATGGTACTTGTGTGTATATATCAATTGAAACATTGGAACATAACCTATCGTTCTGTGAACATTGTAAATGTTTTTGCTTAACATCTTCCCTGAACAGATCATTTCTGCAGGATAGTTTTAGTCTGGACGGTACTTATTCCTTTTTTTTAGTTTCTATGCATTTTTTGTGTAAATCATTGGAAACCTGCAATCACTGTCCAGCACTACCTTATACCTCTGAAGAAAGATCTTGTGCAATCGCTTCAGTCCTCCAGGTTGGGTACTGAAAGATGGTGGCCTATCAAAAAATATCTTGGTAGTCTTGGCTGGTCAGAAAGTGATGAAAGGCTTCACCAGACCTTAAACGGGTACCTGCATATACTGCAAAATGTGTTTATCATGCAAGGAACATCTGTGATTAATCCCTCTGTCATTGTTCATTGGTCAGAGCTTTGAGGATATGGTATTGAGAAATAGTAACTGATCAAATACCATCAGTCTGTGGTCGTTTTGGCTGGTCAGAAATTGATGAAAGGCAAAAAAACCTGATCCTGTAAGGAACATTTGTGATTCACTCCTCACACTTATCACATCAAATCATTAGTTTAAACACTATTGGACAACCAATTCAACAGCCAGGTGAAACCTTATGGTAATAATATATCTGGTGTCAGACCAGAAAGTCGTTCAACAAGACTTGAAGAAAACAGTTAACATTTCATACATGTAGTACAAGAAGATAAGAGTGTGTTAGAAAATTGTACAATTACCAGAAATATGTCATTAGTAATATTAGAAATGTAATCTATATTTCAATTATTTTGTAGTTTAGAAATAAAAGAAACTCATTTGGACAATATCCAATTCATAATTCAAACTAAATATTGTAATTAAGTTGGTCTGGAGAAATTCAACCCATTAGAAACATGTAACACTTCTAGAGAAATATAACTTCATTATCACTTTTGGTTATTTTCTTTTTTATGCATAGTTGACTTTGTTCAGTGACATCCTGTTGGGAGTCTTCTTTGACGTTCTTTTTTAAATCCTTGGTGTCAGATGATGAACTCCTAGTGCTACAAGTTGAGTATTAAAGGATGGTATTTGATGTCAAGTTTTATTATTTATTACATCAAGTTCAGTATACATCAAATGAATCGCTGTACTACTAGTGGTATTGGTGATCCCATCAAAAAGTCTTCTGTGATTGGTTATTGCTGCCTGCTTTTCCTCTTAGGAATCAATGCATTTCATGTAAACGTATAAAAAGCGGTAGATTTCGCACGGTAGAATTCTTTCTATTTTAAAACTTTACAAATGGAGTACAATATTACACAAAATTTTGTAATATACTGTCATTTATAAGTATTTAAAAAGATTACTTACCAATATAGTACATTTGGATCTGGTGTTTCATTTTGAGTAACATCATAGAAACTCATTATATATCTCTCTAGTACTTCTAATGCTTTATCTTGATTACCCTATACAGTGAGATTAACATTTATCATTTGATCATCAACAGTAAAATTTCTATTAACACTTGTCTTTTGAAAGCTTCTTTAACGCATGTCCAGTGAAAATTTCCTTGACACAGGTATTTAAATACATTTTACACATGAGTGGTAAAAATTATGTCAAGACATGGCTATAAGTTAAAATTGTCGATTTTTTTTTTTCACGTTTCACATTTCACTTAATGTATTTTTTTATTTTCACTGCTTTTTAATATTTTATCAATTTATTTGATTTTTTTATTTTTTGATTTAATTGGTATTACTCATCTTGTGAAAATTTCCATTTACCCTCATCCTGCAGAAAATTACTTCCACAGAAAATTACTTTTTACTTTTTCAATTTTTGCTGTTCAGAGATTCAAATTTTATTCATATTCTGAACTAGTAATCAAACAGCCAAAAAAAACTAAAGTTGCTTAAAATAACAGAGATAGGAAGAGAGAAAATTTTAGGAGCCTACGAGTAAAAGGTCAAAGTTGGCCAGATGATTAAAGAGTTTAGCTGATTGGTGATTTTCTTTGATGGCCTCTTCAAAAACCTGTAAAAATAAAAAAATACATTAAGTAAAAGGTACATGTTTTTATAGTAGAATACAGGTATCATATGTACAGTTAAACCAATAACTATTTATTATTTACAGAGTTAAAAGCAACTAATCACTGAATTAATAGTCTGGTGTTTTTAACAGGCAATAAACAAGTTAGAGTACACAGAAATTGAAATGGAGTTTTACGTCCTACTTTTCTGCACCATGTGGACTAATGAAGACAGGCAAATCCATGCAGGGTGCAATGAGGAAAACTTTGCCAGGACAGTAGCATTAGCCTGCTCTTTTTCGATTTCCAACTGTTGAAGGATCTTTTACGCGCACAGCCTGTAGCACACAGGGCCTCGGTTTGTTGTCCCTTCCGAGCGACTAGAAGATTTTTCCAAGGTTCTTATCTTAAATAGTGTGTGGCAGTAAATCATTTTGTCGGTAGTAAAAAGTCGAACTTTTACTTTCTTATAAACATGAATAAGAGTAGTATTTGGGTGGAGCATGGGGATTAAATTATTTGAATGCCAGAAAATTTTCCATGGGAAAACACACTTCTTTTTAATCTTTATGTAATTGAACATTTTTAGCAAATATTTGTGCTAATGCAATAGTAATTGATGAAGTATTCTCATAAAGGGTGGTATGACCTAATATTCATAGGAATGCTATAAGGAAATTACATTAGGTAAGAGTACATGTCAGGTCACTACAGGTTACACCACGTTAAGTTAATTCACATTGATTCATGTAATTCAGTAAGATCATAGACAATAAAATAAATAAAACAATCATTCTCTACATTTTAAAACAAGATTGATAAATTAGATCCTTACAGACTGTGCACTGTGTAGGTTCTCTTCCCCACAACTTGCATATAGATTAGCAGCTGTCAACCACATGTCTACAGCAGACGGACAAAGCTGGAGCACTTTTCGACACACTTCACATGCATCCTTCCACCTGAAAAATTAAACCCCTTCATCTAAGCTTTCTTTTCATTGTAAGTAAAGATCAAAAGGTATTCCTACACAAGGTTACAATGTTGAGGTCATGTTTAATGTTTATGTGATATGTCTGCTATTTTTGACATATTTTGGCAGAAGTAGTCCAGGTTGGAAGCAGAAGTGTTTATTTTCCTACACTCTATCAATGATAACTGAAACATTGTAGATGTTATTAGAACTGTTACAGGCATGCAGAGATCTCAAAGTGTGAAGAATAATAATTATAGAGTAAAATCACAGATATATGAAGTTTCATAAATATGATATATAATAAGAAATGCATATATTTTGGCTGCTTAACAGGTACACTAATAAAACACTATTTTGAAACTTCAGATACTTGTGGAAAAATTCACATCCATTGTAAATTAGTGTAGTCTTATTGTAAAGGGATTTTCTAAATACTTTATGTGTATCGGGGACACTAATAGCATCCAATTGCATCATTTGAATTTTCAGTCAGATGTCTGTAGTTCCTGCAATTTCACATAAAATGTTTGACGATCACAAAATAGGCTTGTATCACATTAGGCATTTTGCTATTAGTGTCATAAAAACACTTAGTTTTAGTGGAATTGCAGGAACCACAGACGTCTGATTGAAAATTGGAATGGTGCAAATTGATGATATCAATGTTCCCAATACACATAAAATATTTAGAACTTTGATTCAAGATTGTCAAAGATCGTCAATTGAGTCACAGAAAAAAAAACATATGACATGCATCACCTGAAGATAGTGACAAAATATGCATTGCATCTTTTCAAGGCTAAGTTACATAATCACAAAATATAATGGAAAGAGGTAAAAACTGGCCTTTTTTAAATTATGATTCTAAATATCCAAAAATAAAAAATAAAATCTGTAAAAAAATCATTGGTTTTGGGGCATCAAAATTATTCCCAATCTGCCTATCAATGTTTACTACCATAGACTGTACAGTGTAAAGCACACAGAGCAAAATCACTAAAAGGATGTACATGAGGATAAAAGCAACATAAAAGCCCACTCATTTTCAATGCACCCACCATCAGAATCTGAACCTAGATGAAAAAGTCAAGTTAAGCTGACATAAAGGGGGTATGAAAGTGAAAATTCTTTAAGTTCTTCAGTGGAGGTAAGTTTTAATTAAGGGGAGGGTAGATTAAAGTATTTTATCATGTTAGAAGAGAGTAATTATAGATTCTCAAGTCTTTAAAGTTGAGCAAGGTGGTAAATTTGTCATGGTGATCTTTTTCTTCATTAAGAGTTGTGAAAATTGTACTGATGGCCTGCAGAGAAGGTAAATCAGAAGGCATTAAACAGCATGTGCAAGGTAGAAGCCTGATTATGTAAAAAGATTCCTCTGTGTACAAGAAGAATTCAATCTATATTTTGTGTTTGAGGTGTATATTAAGCATTCAGATTTTAATGTTCCAAAGTATTTTTCTGTTTATTTCATAAATTTTTGTGTGTAATTTAATAAATGTGCAACCAATTCTATTAATTTAAAGTGAACCTTACATAATATTTTTCACAGGGTTCACAATTTGTAATAATCATATGCAATATTAACAGCACAACTTTATATATATACAATCAGTATGTCACATACAATAGATGATCAAAATGGACATCATTTTTCATTATTGTCTATTTATAAATAATTCTTGGAGGAATCTCAAATCAAATGGCAGGTAACAAAAAAAATGTTTAACATCCTATTTTTCTGCATCGTTATTTACTACTGAGTACAGGGAGTGCTATGCAACATGATATCTTCCCATTCCGTCCCTTCATGTTTTGCTCCTTCTCTGTTTTGCTCCTTTCCTATATCGCCCCTTTTCCATTTTGCCCCTCCCACTTCACCCCTTCTTGTTTCACCTCTTCCTTGTTTAATCAAATAAATAATAATTATGCTTTTTACAGTTTCATTTTGCAATATTACTTTTATGTATTCATATTAGGGAACGAAAAAGAGGCAACATGACAAAAAGGTCACAATGAAAAGAGATCTAATGGGAAGAGACGAAATGGGAATAGATTGAGGGCGAATTGGGATGGGATGATATGGGAAGGGGCGTTATGGGAATAAACCATGCAGAATTCAATGCACACTAAAATTGGCTAGAACAACCACATAAAAAATACAACCATACATATAGTGTTGCTTACAAAATACCAGTAAATGTTTGCATATATAATAAAAATTCTTGAGTAACATGTACACAAGCCATACGAATTTGATTATCATGAATAATAAGTTTTGGCACAACCAGTGCAATAAAAATTAATACGCACATGTGATTTATTACGAGGAAATTGAAAATGTTGAAGTTTAAAACTTGAAATGTGTGTGAAATTAATTGTCATGATCTGAACTCTGGTCAATTGAAGGTGAAATACACATCAAGAGAATTTCATAGTTTGTTTTTGAAGTCTGGTTGAACAAGATTTGAAATATTTCAATGAGCAATTAGAAAGTTTATATCAAAGGTTTTACTGTCAAATATTAACATGTACTAAATATAAAATGAGTCTATATTCTTGGTACAGAACTTTGAATGAAGAACTGTAGAAACATTAAAAATCATGGTATAACTCAATCAGAAAATCAGTCAGAGAGAAATGTGGTAAACTTGTAATAATTATAGACACTTTCAACAAACTTACATCAAACGCCACAGATTCAAAAAAAAGAAATTTCAGTTTACTCATTTCTTAAAGGGACAGGCCATTTTTTTGACCAATCATACTTTAGTCACAGAAACTGGAATTTTTTAGCTGAACTAATCAGTAATAGTGTCTGTTCAGAATTATCTGCGTTTGAATGTTAAAATGAGGACTCGTCAATTTAAAATACTCTGTGATATATAGAAAAGACATATCGTCGGTGGGCTTACAAAACCGCGTATATGGCCATTTTCACTAAAATCACTTTTTCGATTATTTGGAATCAGCAGTATATTCCGCACATTTTTATATGGATTTGGTGGTTCTAAGCCAATAAAAAGTTGTCTTTTCAAACATGTGACAAATTGGCGTATATTGATTGGTGTAAAATTGGGTCTTCCAAAATCACGTACCTCAAACTTTTTTTGTCAGGACAAAATGTGCAGCAAACAAACTATGCCAGAGTGCCAGAGGTAATGTAATAATTCTTTCGCAATTTACCTAAATGTCTTACGAACACTATTACATAGCTAAACCACACCAAGGATGGTTTAAATAACTTTTTGCATACATATTAGTTGCTTTATGATAGGACGTCCTTTGTACAACAGAACTTTTTACGTTGACGACTTAATATTTTTTAGTAAATTCTCTCCTAATCTGTAATGCTGTGTCCTGCAATGCATATTGCATCATTGTAATGAATTTTTGATATTATGTCCATACAAAAGTTCGTTAAAATAAAGTAAATTTTGACATACGCGATTTTGTAACTAAGCCTTGAAAAAATTATTTGGTTATTATTCGTATTTTCGCGTTTTTAGAATAACGGTATATATTTGTCTTAAGGTCGTATTTATATCATATTATTATTATCAAAATAGGCCTGTAAGTGAATACTGAATGATACTTTGTTTTTTATTATTTCAGTTGATATTATAATATCCTCACAATCATCAAAATGGCCAGTTATTCGAGAGGAAAATATTTGGTTAGTCTGGCAATAAAGTCCACCAAGAATTCAATAAATGAAAACAACTGCGGAGATGCTAATGATAAAAATTGTAAAAAAACAGATAATCAACCTTTACCTTCTGCTATTCTTACAAAAAAACCTGTGCCACAAGCTATAACCCCTCCTGAAAACAATGATATATTTCTATCTGAACCAGAAGCCACAATCAAACATGTACCACAATCTTTAACCCTACCAGATGACGATGTAACATTTCTATCTCAACCAGACGCCACAATATATTCATGCATACCCAGTGTATCTTGCTCAGAATCGAATCAAGTTCAGACATATATTGCCGAACCCATTGGCATGTATTATAACCTCCCCGAAAACTATCATGAAAATGTCGATGTTCAGACTTCAAACTCAATTCACCTAAAATCACCATCAGAATTACTAAACCAATGTAATCCATCTTGTTCTTACTTACCTCTCAAAAACGATGATGATAGTCTCACAAGTTTGCATTTACATGATGCTCAAGAAGTCGAGATAGATTCGCACTCGCCCATTGGTTCCACAGCACAAGATCAATCCACAAATCAGACCTGTGATGGGGTATTTTCTGACAAACCTTAAACTCAAACAAACAAAAGGCCGCGGTACACGATGAACAAATCATCACTTAGTGATAGCACTCTACTGGAGACTGAATCTGATGCTGACGATTCTGATAGAGATCCTGATTGGAAACCAAGGAAGAAAAGAAAACTTTTCGAATGTTCCTCCTCTGATGAAGATCTTGCCCACTCTCCAATTAGACCAATTTCAACAACCTCTGTACCTTCATCCCCAAATACACCCACACACAACCCCCCACATAAAAGATCAAAGCCAGGAAAAGCCATGCCAGAAAAATGGAAAAAGAACATACAAAAGCAATTACGAATGGAAGGAAAGGATTATAGCGGGATAAAGAAAGATGACGAGGGTCATTATGTGTATTCATCTGAGAAGCAAAAGAGAACATTGGGAGAAAGGAATTGTACTCGATTGTGTGCAATAGGGAAAAAATGCACTGCATTCAGTGAGGATGAACGATCTTCTATATTTGATCGTTTTTGGACGAACTTAAATTGGGATCAAAAGAGAGTTTTTGTTGCTGGATTGATAGACAAGGTTGAAGTAAAAGAAAGGAGGGAGAAAACGGGCGAAAGTCGAAAGAAGTATTCCTTTAACTATTTCTTGAAAAAGAATGAACAACGCCTTCCCGTCTGTCGCAATATGATGTTAAATACTCTTGGACTTAAAGACAAGATGGTTTACGAGTGGATGAAAGATGTTAGTGTGGGTGTACCGAACAAAACACCAGATAAACGACGCAATACGCAACGCACTGATAACAAAGTCATTGCAGCCAAAGAATTTCTGGGGAAACTACCAAACCTACCTTCTCATTACTGTCGCGCAACATCGAATAAGAAATATCTTGAACCCATTTTCACCACATTCGCAGACTTATATCGAGTTTACAAACAGTATTGTACAACTGAAGGAGTGGGCATTGTTTGTAAGAAGGCCTTTAAGTCATGTTTTGATGATTTGAATTTGTCGCTTTCTCGTCCTAAGAAGGACCAGTGTGATATTTGCTGTGGATTCGAAGCCGGAAATATCTCAGAGATCGATTATAACAACCATATTAATCTGAAAAATGAGTCGAGGAATGAAAAGTCCAATGACAAAGCACGAGCTGAAAATGACAATCGTATTAAAGTCATAACCCTTGATCTCCAGTCATTGCTCCTCAGTCCACGTATTCAAGCTAGCTCCATGTATTATAAAACTAAGTTAGGCTGTCACAATTACACAATATATGACTTGAACACAAGGCAGGTTGTTTGCTACTTTTGGCACGAAGGGGAGGGAGAACTTTCCGCGAACTCCTTTGCCTCATGTTTAGCGGATTACATTGATAATTTGTCGGGACTATCTGAAGATAAGAATATTACAATTGTCCAAAAATTTCTAGAGAAAGGTCACACCCAAATGGAGTGTGACAGTGTCCATAGCACTATTGAGAGGCGTTTACGCAACAAGCCTATTTACGTTCCACAAAATTATGTAGATCTAATAGGTACTGCCCGTGTTTCTCCTCCGTAAAAAGTAAAGTATCTCTCCAGTGATTTTTTTCGCAAATATTCGGAATTGAAGTACTATACCTCAATCCGTCCTGGTCGCGGTAGTGGAGACCCTGTAGTTACTAATATAAGACTTCTCCAATACAAAAACGGAATTATCTCCCATAAGTTACGGTATTCTGATACAGAATTTGAAGAGTTACCTTGTAGACGTCGAAACTCAGAGGCATCCGAAACACAGTTAACCATTCCAAAACTTTATGATGTAAAACCAAAAATCAAAGCAAAGAAATACAAACATTTGCAGGAACTAAAAGCAGTTATTCCTAAGGATTACCACCCGTTTTATGATGGCCTTATTCACATTGAGAATGAGTTTATTTGTATTGTTATATTTTATTGTAATAGTAACTAAGCCGTTTTAATTTCATTCTTTGAGATTTATTTTGCAGTACACTCTTTTCATACAGAATATCAAGTAGATATCGTCATTCTTTGTTTTTATTGAAATGATTTTTTTTTTTAATAAAATTTGTTAACTCGTTTGAATGATATATTTTTCATTATATCATAAAAATATTCATAAAACATGTCTATCTGTTAAAATCAAAATGATGTATAACATCATTTTTCTCAAATTGTAATGTCAAAATCGCGTATATCCATTTCTGACGTCACGAATGTAGACCCACACAAAAATGTACCAGCATAGTATGTAAAGACGCATAAGAACTATATATACCAAAAACTAACATTATTCTTCCATTATTAACAAAGTTATGCAGTTTTTTGTCTGTCCTGAAAAATTTTGAATTCTGCATATTCGCGATTTTGGAAGCCCACCGACGATATATAGAAATAGTGAGTAAAATTCCTAATTTGAAGTATTTTTAAAGGAATTATGTGGTTTTTGTACATTTCTAGTACTTCTGAAGACTATTTACATAATATTCAAGACTAAAATCAACCCCCGAAAATGGCACATCCGTCCCTTTAAAATAAAGTGTGATACTACATATCTAAGTAATTAACATGTCCATGGCAAATTAGACCCCATTCCACTAACTCTCTGAAACAATTGTATTATGTGTTATAAACAATTTTTGGGGGATTATTTGTAAGCATTGTATTATTTCAGTCCTTTCAGAATTTACATTGTTGTAATTTCTCTTTGCATGCAGCGAAGAACATTTATAGTACCATTTCAATTTAATATTTATTACTCAAATTGTTCTTATGACCTTGGCCAGTGCTTTTACAGTCAGGAGAGTATCTTCTATAACACCCAACACTACACATGTTATACATTATTCAAGTAATTTGTTATGTAATGGTTTTCAATTTAATCAAATTATTTGTTTAATACATGATTACTGAGTACATGTTTGTGAAATATTACCAAAAACCCAATATTAGCTTTGTGAACCTTTTCGAAAGGGATGCTAAGTTGACAAAACAAGTTGCAGAACCATGTATATTTTTAGTGTTTTTTCCTTTGGTAATCGTGATCTTCAAAACCAATTTAGCTACAGTTGAAAGATGATTGTGTACGATACGTAATTTATACACTTGTTGCCCAAATCCCTTCCATATCTTATTGTTTGTAACCATGTTTTCAAGATATGTCTACACTCTCTGCTAATAACATATCAAAACTCATCTGATAAATATTGGCTTCAGACAAAGTAATGACATCTCTGCAAAAACGCAACCCAACTACGCAAATAAGTTCAACTCACCTAGACACGGAAGATAAGAAGGCTATGAAGTTATCAAAAATAGTTTGACAATAAAGTAGATTAAGATTACTATCTGTTAATCCACCAGAACACTGCTCTACAGCCTGCCAGAAATACTCTATCAATAGATCAACAGATGTCAACAATTCTTCTACTGGTTTCCATTCTATCATCAAATTACTCTAAAATACACGTAAATTGCAACAAATAAAATGATATCTGGTCAAAAAGTTGCAAATTCTTTCAACTAATCAAGATATATATAATAGTATTTTTTATTGACCTTTTGATTTTGATTAGTGGAACTATATAATGATTTACTAACCTTGTCTAAAATATGACTAGGATTTTGATTATTAGAACTATATAATGATGATTTAATCACCTTGTCTAAAATATGATCAGGATTTTGATTATTAGAACTATATAATGATTTACTCACCTTGTCTAAAATATGACCAGGATTTTGATTATTAGAACTATATAATGATTTACTCACCTTGTCTAAATTATGACCAGGATTTTGATTATTAGAACTATATAATGATTTACTAACCTTGTCTAAAAAATGACTAGGATTTTGATTATTAGAACTATATAAAGATGATTTACTTACCTTGTCTAAAATATGACCAGGAATTGTCTATTAGAACTATATAATGATTAACTAACCTTGTCTAAAATATGACCAGGATTTTGATTATTAGAACTATATAATGATGATTTACTCACCTTGTCTAAAATATGACCAGGATTTTGATTATTAGAACTATATAATGATTTACTAACCTTGTCTAAAATATGACCAGGATTTTGATTATTAGAACTATATAATGATGATTTACTCACCTTGTCTAAAATATGACCAGGATTTTGATTATTAGAACTATATAATGATTTACTAACCTTGTCTAAAATATGACCTGGATTTTGATTATTAGAACTATATAATGATGATTTACTCACCTTGTCTAAAATATGACCAGGATTTTGATTATTAGAACTATATAATGATTTACTAACCTTGTCTAAAATATGACCTGGATTTTGATTATTAGAACTATATAATGATTTACTCACATTGTCTAAAATATTACCAGGATTTTGATTATTAGAACTATATAATGATTTACTCACATTGTCTAAAATATGACCAGGATTTTGATTATTAGAACTATATAATGATGATTTACTCACCTTGTCTAAAATATGACCAGGAATTGTCTATTAGAACTATATAATGATTTACTAACCTTGTCTAAAATATGACCTGGATTTTGATTATTAGAACTATATAATGATGAAGGTAGATGGTGGTATTCTAGAAGATGAATGTAACTAATCCAAAGTACAGATTTATCACCAATATTCAAAATATTCAACAGTTCACTTCTATCTGTCTTTGTATTAGCCTTGATTATGCTCTGCAAATATAACAGAAAATTACATTAATGATTTGTCAAAACAATAAACAAGATTTAGATGCCTATGTGAACATTGATAGTTACCTCAAACATGCTGTTACTTTTCAGCATTTCATGTAGAGTCTTATAACAGACATATTTCTTAATTCGTAGAATTTCAGATGTCAGTTTGTGTTTTGTGGGATTTTCTTGCATATTGAAAATACTAAAGTTAAATATATGAGTAAATATTCAAATTATACATTAAGACAGTAGCCAACACAGGGTTCAATTTAAGCAGTATTACATCACAGTTTAATTAACCCTTCTGCAACCTTTATTTCCTATGATTAGTAGAAATTAAAATTTATCATCATGATCTACAAATCAAATCAAATTGTGTATTGCATGTGAAATTTTTTGCCAAACTAGAAATATAAGGCAGCTTTCTGCATTCTCCATAATCTAGGGATTTATTTAAGATTCATCTGAAGAATGCATCCAGAGCATTTTAAATTTTTTACCAAATTTTTATGAAATGCAAATCAAAATCTAACTTGATTGGCTAAAACTGAAAAATGTTGCAATAAATAATATGATGATATTTTTGAGCAGCAATCAAGACATGTAATGACTAACTGTGGGATAACAAATGCCAAAGAATCTATCATATTGCTCTACTTTGGTTCATAGGGACAATTTATTTTCATTTAATCAGGATATAAACAATGTAACTTTCAGTTGAATAGTTTGATTTGTTAATCTTACATACAAAAGTACATTACAGATCAATACAACATTTCCTTCCAGTCATATTAAGACAACAAGCACTAAATCAAAACCACCTTCGACATTCAAATGGACATGCCAAATTGACGGAATAGTTATGCAATATTATTGATCTGACTGATAAACACAAAAAGTAAAAACTTGCAATTTGCAACATTTGAGTAAAGCTTGGAACAAGCAATTTGCAACATTTAAGAGTTTAATATCATTTCTGCAAAAAGATGTCATCATATGCTGTAATCTCCTAACTTGAATGATTACTAGCTCAGTCAAGATCCTAGTCCAGGCTGGGTGTCGGCTTTCAACCCCTTTCATTTTTCTTAAAATTTCTTAACTAAGATATCTGAATTCACCTACATCTTATCAGATATGATCAAAAAGATCTAGCAGGTAATAAGTCAGCGTTAAGATTGCATCTCTGATAATTACGCCTACTGGAAGTCAGAAAGTTCTGTCTAATTCTTTACGTGCATGAATCAGAGTAAATATAACATTTTTACAAGAATAAATTACAACTGATGAAGATGTGGGAGGGATGACTAAAAAGATTGAAAGCGTTACATAAATATTGTGAGAAATAGCAACAAATATCTTTTACAAAGATAATAACTTAGGTTCACATGCTGGGGATCCTGTCTACAAGCTAGTACCTTGCTAAACCTCTTGGCATTCATCTTACCCAAATTATCCCTAACAATTCACCAGAATTTAACATGCTGACTAAGATAAGAACCCACTACCCTTTGCTTATAATAAATAACAAGATATGAAGGGTAGGGAACAGAAATGCTTTGAAATATCACATTGGTTACACATCAGCTTTCCACACCGTATTAAAGGGACAGATTTGATATTTTCGAGAGATGATTTGAGGTTTGAATAAATGTATAGTCTTCAGAAATGTACGAAAAATCGCATAATTCCATTAAAATACTTCAAACGAGGTTCTACTTCTATTTCTAAACATGTCTTTTATCAGAGTCTAAAGAAAAGACGAGTCGTTATGTTAACTTTCAATTGAGGATAAATCTGGACACATATTGATTTGAAGGCTTAAATAATACTGATTGGCTTCAATAAAAAAATTCTGTTTCTGAGATTAAGGTACAATTGGTTAAACGGATGGCAAACCCGTTTCTTTAAAACCTTTTCAGTCAGCCCTGGCATTTTTCTCATTAATGTTAATTCTATTAGATTCAGCCCAGTTGATTCAGTGCACATCATTTCATTATCACTTCTTTATTATTATCTTGCTGGCATCATGTGATGTAAATGTCATTATTATATATACACATAGATATGTGGTGCATGTAAGTTGTCAAACACAGTTAGGTGGTATTACATTGGCAGACAACAGAAACTATTTGCTGATTTCATGCAAGCGTCTAAAACTCTTATCTGTATGCTGCCTTACAGTCCAAATAAAACTTGCAGATGACAGATAATATATTTTTCTTTGTGAAAAGATACTGTAATACTATATATTTCATCTAATTTCAGATATATCCAACATTGTAGATAAACTTAGTGTAAATCTATATACATAGTCATCTAATTATTTGCTTAATCAGCTCAAATATGATATCTTTCATACCACTTTTTCAAAATGAAAATCCAATCCATTGAATTCTTCTGTATTTCAATAAGAATAACATTCTGAAGAAGTTCAGATTGCTTAACCCTGTTTCCATTACAAAATTTATCTGTGCTCTGAACAGTTCAGAGTGTTAATTGTCGAGCTTTCTGAGAACAGTTCCAATTCGTTCCAATAGGTCTCAAAACAGTTCTTAGAACGGTATGCTCACCTTCTACCATACCTGGTTACATTATGTGTCTGGGTGTGTCAACTAGAACTCATAAAGCTTCATTTTATTTCAAATATTTTCTTTTCTTACATTGATATCAATTGGAGAGTGCGTGGGTGCTTTATTAACACAAAAGTTATGACTATTTAAGGACGATCTCCAAATAGTCAACAATATGTGGGAGTGATGTCAATCTGAATGTCAGTAAAAAGAGTAAACCTCGTATTAAGAAAATCACTTGGTTCAAATTTTGAACTTCTAGAAATCTTTTTTTCATTAGCTTCATTTCAATTTTTTTTTTAAAATTTTCAAAGATATTACAAACATATAATAGCCTTTAAATTAATGAACACTGTAGGTGTATAATAAAATCACACCTTATTTTAGTCTAGACTGAATGTTTTTTAATGCAGAGTTGTAAAAGTTGAAAAGATCAGCTGAAAAATATCAAATATTTAATCCCTGCATTTTTTAGACCAACCCTTTTGTGCTTCTAATTTGAGTTATGTTTTGAATGAAAACATGGGCTGAACGTGTAGTAAAGCTGTAATGCAAACACCATTGGTAGTCGAAATAAAACTAATGTTATTTTAATAAGCATATGAGTTTCAACCTGTCTGAGCTCTTTAGTTTTCACAATGTGATCCTAAGATGCGTTCAAAGTTATTTAATTGCTAAAATTATAAGCTAAATATTTAGAGTGTTCATGTAAACGTCCCTGCTTACCCTTTAGTACATGGTTCTTATTACACGTATTTTATAGTGAGAACACATTGAAAATATATTGTCTAAAATAAACAAGTCTATTGTGTTTTAAAGAAAAAAATGAGTTTGTTAAATAGATGGTTTTATATATCTATTGTATTTTTCAGTCCAGTGTATTGATATGAATTGCTTGCTTCATTGATGAAATCCATGTTATCTTCAATTTAACATCTTAAAGAAATGGAGTAAGGTTCTACTAATGGTAAAAAAAGAAATCATATGAATGGAGTTTTAAGTCCTACTTTTCTAAACCATGTGGGATAATGAAGACGAGCAATGCCATGCAGGGTGCATTGAGGGACATTTTGCCAGGACTGTGGAATTAGCCTTCCTAATTTAAATTGCCTACTATCCAATAAATCTAGCACAGAATGCAGTTATTATATAATAATTATTAAATAACTAAATGCTCTTTCCATGTCAGCCACCTTCTGCCTGCATCACTGACTGGGTGATACTTGAAAGAAGATAGTATATCACCTTACCAAGCAATCTAAAGTCAAAAGCAGGAATACCATTAAAAGTTTACTCAGGTTTATGAAAATAAATCAGATTATGTCACTAAATTTTAAGGGACAGATTTGATATTTTGGGGGGTTGATTTGGGTCTTGCATTATGTACATATTATATAATCTTCAGAAATACTAGAAATGTACGAAAATTGCATATAACGTACGGCAGAGTCTCAAGAAAAGATGTCGTTTTATTAACTTTCGAAAATGGATAATAATGGCTAAAATTTCGATTGTGAGCTATGAACAATATTACCTATTAGCTTAGCTAAATTCTTGTTTCTGAGAGTAAGGTATGATTGGTCAAACAGATGCTGAACCTGTCCCTTTAAATATGAAAATCAGATACCAGCTTTGTTTACAATTTAATTTCATTTAGTGAAGCTGGTATTAAAACCAGCATTTTGACTGTACTCCTAACTTATAGAAATAGATTGCAATATTCATTTTAAATAGTGATGCATGTAGCTGTAATTTCCTCCCAGCAGACACAATAATCCTTTTATTCCATCAAAATTCTATTATAAAGTGTATGTTTAGACAGATATGCTACCACTAAGTTAAATGTATTGTTTTTTGTATATAAATTATCAACCAATTACACAATAAAACACATTTTATGTATCAGGAATTACATGCATTGGGGGTGTCCATAGTAAATAAGAACTTTAATACAATTGGAAGATTACTCAGAAAGACAAGACATATTGTTGAGATAGATTTACAGATTCAGGATTTCAATATCTGCATTCCCAAGCATGAAAAAGAAGTATTGTTAACCGATCTAAATACATCATCCAAATAAGTTAAAGTTGGTGCTTTCCTAACCAATAATGTGATTTGAATATATATGTGCCAACAAACCAAATGTAAGCTAACACAATCACAAAGCTTTGCATATTAAAAAACTAAATTGACAATAAATTGGTAATACAATAATATTGATCCAGACAGAAATCAAAATAAAAAGGAGCACAAGTTAGTTTGAGGGCAGACTGGAACTTGACGCCATTTGCTTGATAACGCTAAACAAGTAGTGATCGTGGGTTCTAATCTACATCGGCACGTGACTAAATCATATGTATTAATTATTCCATTCTATGAATATAAATGGGTACAGATAATCTTTACAAAAATTAATGCCAAGAGTTTTGACCAAGGACCATCAGATGGACGGACACAATCCTCACGAATCTAAGTTGTTATCCGTGTTAAAAACAACAGTTGTTGTTCAAATTTGATGCACTACTAAATTGGTACAACCAGAAGGGAGAACACAACTTTAAAGTATACAGAATGAAATACTGTATGATATTCTATTGTTAAGACGCTAGTAACTGATAAAAGCATATTTTATGAACATCTTCACACACAGCTTTAGTCTTTATCATATCAAGATAACAAGCTTACAATATCCAATAAGAGGACAGTTTAAAGTGCTCCAGTAAATATTCTGAATTGCATGAGATAAAGATATTTCAACTTAAAAACCGATTAAAACTTCATTTCAAGTGCACTCTTATTTTGTGTGTTCTACTTTAAAAATGTATCTGTTTTATGTTAAATATTGAAGTGGTCTATCAGACATGATATCAGTGTTTAAAATAATAATATATTGAGTTAGAGAAAAAAAGCATTTCACAAAAACCACAATTTTTTTAAACTAAAGGATATTAGTAAATCATTAAAAGGCTAAGAGCTCTTTTTTTGTTCATGAGGAAAATTTATGTTATGTGCCTTTTTCTGAAGATTTCATTATTTGAAATAAAAATTTTTGGCTCCAAATGGGCTAATTAAGAAAATAGCAATGCCAGTCAGTATGCAATGAGGGAAATTTTGGTAGAGCAGCAGCATGAGCCTGATCTGCCCAATTATATCATCTGTTTCTATAACTGAATCCAAACAAATAATCACAAATGATTTGTATCATGTTGTCATTAGTACACAAGAACTTCACAAGATGTTCGATATAAAACTATAAATCCTATAAAATTCTGGAAAAAATTTTGGCTTATCTTCAAAATCCAATCTTTTTTTATATCAAGAGCTGTTACTTAAAAAATATTTGTCAAACAGTACCGAAATTCGAACTTGTCAGAGATATGGTTGACAGATACTGCAATGTGGGCATATAAAACCTTTGGCCTTAATCGCACTACTGTCTGACTACATTGTGCTTTGAATTGCAATTTTTCTCTCATTTCATAAATATTCATGAAATAATATTTTCAACTTTATGCCATTTGTCTTAGAATGTCTTTGAGTCTATAGAAATATAAGGTGATTTTACATTAAAATAGACACACTTCCCTCCTAGAAAATTCACGTGAAAATGACCTGCTTTTCAAACTCAAAATTCCCCTCAATAAAATCATGTTTACAATTATAAATTCAGTTGACATTGTAGTCAGAGAATAGGCAATATTTAATGTAGTTTCAGGGTATCAAGGGCAGTAACTCCACAAATATTTGTAAGATGATTATCAGATTCAAACTCATCCTACACCTTGTAAAAAATTTAGAAAATATTTGTCACACTGAACCCAAATTCAAACTTATCTGCAAATTTTGTGGATATAGTTCCACACACAAAACTTTATAGAAGACTAGACAAACAACAGTTGGCTTGTAAAGCCAATTGTGGTTGGACCACTTTGCAAAAGTGATATTTGCACACATTGCAATGTGGGCGTATAATAACTGAAATTAAAACACACATACCTGTATAAAATTTAGACCAGTTTTAAAACGACCAGTTTGAACAGCTAGTGTGACTTTATACAGTATGATTTCTAGTAAATAATGTGAATGTTGTTCTAATGGTAGACTGTCAGTAGATGTGAGGTATTCTATTATTTTATCACATATACTGTCTTTATTACTGTAACCTGTACTCCACTCTAAATACTGAAACACATACATTTAAATAATGATAAAAACAACTATATTTTATTATAATCAACTAAAAGGGTGATATAACTGATGTTAAGGAATCAAAAGTATAAACTGCTTTTGAAAATTGGTGCAAGGGAAATAACTCTTAAAGAGGCAGTATGAAAAATTTTTCAAATCAAAAACATCGAAAATCATACCTAAAAATATTTCTAAACTATGCTATTTATATCTATGTATCTACTTGATCAAACTGAATTGGTTTTAAAATTGTTAATTAATAACTGAGAGTATTAATTGTTAATTAAGCAGACCTATTTGGTGTCTAGCTTTATAATATCTCTGTATATTTAGTTGAAACCTTCGAAATAAGTAGGACTGGAGATTTTCAATCAAATTTTTCAGAGGTGTTAAAGGACACATTTCTCTAGATATTGGTGTATAGTTTTCATGAATAAAAGTACAAAATATAATGGTTCTTTTAAAGTCGGAAATACTTGACAAACCAAATATCTTTATCTAAGACATATACGAGCACATATAACAAAAGACAAGACAATGTTATGGAATATAACACACTTCTTTAATAAGATTAGGCACATAACGTTTCAACACAATATACATC